CACACACACACACACACACACACACACACACACACACACTGTTATATATATATATATATATATATATATATATATATATATATATATATATATATATATATAACAGTGTGTGTGTGTGTGTGTGTGTGTGTGTGTGTGTGTGTGGTGTTTGCAGTTCTGGTGATAGAACACTGGGTGTTGTAAGTCTATCCCTCACATTTTCAGTCCTATACACCATTTTCTTTGTCCATTCATCTGTAGATGAACATTTAAGATGATTATATAATCTGGCTATTGTGACTAGTCCTACAATAATCAGGGGAGTTTGTGTCTCTTCAACATGCTGATATCATTTTCTTAAGACATATAACTACTAATGGGATTTCTGGGAGGTAACATAGTTCTAGTTCTAGAAACTGCATATTGTTACCTAACTGCTTTATTAATTTACAGTATAAAAGAGTTCCTTTTTTTCTTCATTCTCATCCCAAGCCAGAGTTTCTGAATTCCCATTTTAATTCTCTCACTAACTACATCTGTTTTAGACCATTGTGCCTCAAATGTTAGGAGATGGTAAAAAAATAAACTGAACAACCTCTTTTTAAAAAGGACCTTCTGGAAGACTGTGGAGTTAGAATAGTACTCCATTACTTTCACAGAACTTTTTTCTCAAAAGCATATTTAAATACTTAATAGAATAGGAATTCAAATAGCTCCTTCTAATAAAAAAGGGACTGTGTCTTAATATTCCTCAATTAGAATCTGGAGACCAGAGAGGTGCAATGTCTTGCCCAATGTGTGTAAACAGCATGGATATTCATACACAGCCATGTTTGCTCTGAGTAACGTTCTGCTATGGCAAATTAGTTAGAAAAAAGTTATATGTTTGCACCAGTTGCTAAAGATATGTGCTTGGCCACATACATGTGGGAGTTTCAAAGGCAGGAAGTACATCAGGATGTATGCTGGCACTGATTGGACAAATGTGGGAAACACATAGCACTGTGGGGTTTGCCTTTATAAGCCCCTCACTAACGTAATTTGGGTACATGTTCTAGGATTTGTAAGTAAGGACCTGGCCAGCATCCATGGTACTAGGCAGCATTAAATAAAGCTTGCTTCAAATTTGATAAAAGAAAGGAAGGAAGGAAGGTAGGAAGGAAGGAAGGAAGGAAGGAAGGAAGGAAGGAAGGAAGGAAGGAAGGAAGGAAGGAAGGAAGG